ATCTGGACCATCATGCCAGTGATTTTCATGTAGACGCGATCTTCTCCTTCCTTAGCATCAGGCATATAAGTTTGAATGAAAGCGTTAGGCACGTCCAGCGTCATTATATCTCTACCTTCGTGTGCATGAATAACACAAGTAGTGGTGATTGCTTCTTGTGAAGCAGTTGGACTTGCAGTGTCCTCTCGCGATAACCATTCACGAGTTCCATTGCCTCGGAATACTAGGCAACCTTTAATTGTCTTTTCAAATTGCTTCTCCACGAGTAACATCATCGCTGATTGGGCCTTCTTTCGCTCAGACGCGGTCATGTCTTTAACAAATTCGGGAGTGAAACAATCTCTCAAGAGCATTTGTCTCAATTCCTTATCCACAGCATCCTTTCCATCATCACCAAACTTCTTAAGTCCTTGATTGATGTAATACTGTTGAATGAAGTTCAGACCTTCATCAGTATCAAACTTTGCCTTGATCTGCATCATGCAACGAGCGATCAGAATAGCGTGGTGCTCTTTATATTCAGCTTTCATCTCATTCCTAATCTCTTGGAAACATAGATTGTGCTGTGCTTCAAGGATAGCTTTACTGTCTTTAGTATTGCGACTTCCTTCTTTGGTACAAATACCAGATTTTAACTTGTTCTTCAGCGGTTTCAATTCTCTCTCTCCATGCTTGCGTCTTGTCGCAACTCGATTCTTGTCCTTATTGGTAGAACTGCCACTCCTGCTTGAAGGCCATTCTCTTGGTCTTTTTGGAACTTGGGAAAGGTTCAGCCCAGACATTGTAGCTTGCGCATACGTTTGCCCAGATTGAGTGACTTTTGCTACTTGAGGCTCTTCAGGCTCAAATCTCTTCTTGTAGGCTCCCAATATCATCAGTTCCTCTATCGATATTTTCTTGATGGCGATCCAAATCGACCACAATAGGTTATTCCTCTTTGTCGCCTTCATCATCCGAATTGTCGTCTGATTCATAGTTGTCATCTCCACGGAATCTGACAGTGAGTTCTGGCATATCATCGACATCATTGTCTGCATCTGCCAAGAGCTCTTCTCTTTCGCAGTCATCAATATCATCAAATTGTCCGTGTAGATTGAAATCACGTTCATCTTCATCTTCAGGTTCATAGTCCTGATCAAAGGCTTCTTCTAAGTAACCTTGTTCCATGTCATCCACTCCTGCAATTTGACCGCCATCTTGAAATGTCTCCAAATCTCTCTTCTTATCAAAGAACTTCATGGAAGTAACACCTTCGGCAGCAGCCCAAGCTTCAACACGCTGGATTACTTGATCGGTAACGGGTAGTACAACGACCTT